AGGCCCGAAACATCAGCTTTCCTGCTCCCCTGATGCTGCTTGGCCTGCTGTGTTCATCCAGCTCTACACCTTGGTATCTCAACTGAAATCTATGATTGCTTGACTTGGTGCAGTTGTCTCCCCAGTTATCCACCACTAAATACAATCAGTCTTGGCTGGGACGTCAAAACAACTCCTCTGCATTAAAGACCTTCTCTCATTTGCTGTCATTTTCCCCTTATCCTCCCACAGTACCACCCCTGCATGACCTCAGTGGTGCCTTCTCACTCATTCAGATCACAACATGTTTCCCCAAACGCACCAGCCCTTCCAGTCGTGCCACCCACTTAAGTCTTGTTCAGTTGCACCCCACCCCCTTCATGACATTGCAGAAGACTTCCCACAGAAGTGACACTGTGCTGGACATCCATGTCCTCACCCCCTCCAATGAAAGGATTCTTGCCTTGGTGGTAAAAGACAGAGGTGGAGACATCCATGTCCCAATACCTGAGTAGGTGACACTTGTCATCCCACTGCCATGGTGACATTAACTAGGCATTGAATACCAGTACTAACCAGTGGCTGCAACACATTCTGCCTCTGAGGTATTACAGGTGGATCCATCCTCCCATGGACCAACATGTTCTTCTCAAAAGGAGAGATCCTCAATTTCCCCTGGATCATCATGGGGAAACACTGCAGGGACTGTCGTCTGCACTGCCCCTTGCCTCCCCAGCAGCACAGATGCTGGCATCTTACTGGGTTTTGTGAGGACACCCACTATGCAGCTCCAGACATGGGTGTCAGAGGGCTGCCAGAGACCAGGCACCTGTTGAGCACCTAGCAGATGATGACCCTATGATGGATCTCATTCAGATGCACAGGGATGAGCAGCAGTGTCAGGCAGACAGACATTCAGGACTCACTGACTTATGTTCCAACAAGGACCAGGAGCCAAAACATTAAACAGGAAATTTTGTTATGGAAATGTTTATTCTACAGGCAGCATGGTTAGAATTAGCTGTTTCCCACCCAAAATGGCCAGTGATGTCACCATTATGTCATGTGATTGGACTGTTAATGTGACAGTCCACCATACTTGCACAACTACATAAATCCATCCCCTTTACATGAGCGATTGCAATGCAAACATTCACAATATTTACAGGAATCGACAGGAATGTTGATTCCTGTAAATATTGTGAATGTCTGTATTCCTGTTGATTCCTGTGTGGCTGTCCATGCTCCTCAGGCATCTGTTTACTTTTTCCATTGGCTTTAACCTCTGGTGTTTGAGGTGTACTAGGAACATCATTGGGGTTTGTCTTTTCCTGAGATCATTTAATATTCAGAGGTTTGCATAACGTCGTGGTATTCTCCACTACGGTATTGTCTCCCTCAGATGGTTTAGTTACTGTTCTGTCCTCTGGTATATCCAGGTCTCTGGCAGTTATTTGTGGATCTTCAATTAATGTAGCTTCTGGCACATTCGTTCTGGTTGCCAAGAGTTGATCTGCATGTCTCCTCCCTGCAAATCATCTCTTGTCTGTGTGGTGTAGGAGACCAATCCAGTCTGTACTCCAATGTTGGCTGGTCCCACTTCTCACCAGTAAGGTACTTCTTCACCAAAATTTCTTGAACTTTTTGAAAAATGTGGCATTTGGCTTTATTGTCTTATTCCTCTAGTTTCCTGTCAATAATGTCTTTCGTCATGGGAGATTTACCATGAATAGTGTCATCGAGTGGGTTAACAAAAATTGGCTATGTCCCTTGGATAATGATCCATGTTCTTGAGTTACTTTAAAGGAATGTTTCACAGGAACCTGTGAACAGGAGTAGGCCATTTCAGGCCCCTCCGAGCTTGTTCCACCATCCCGTGAGATTTTGACTGATCTGTGGCCTAACTGCATATACCTGCCTTTGGCCTTTGCTAAACAAGATTTATATTTCCTACTTTAAAATTAACAACTAATCCAGCATTCACTCCGTAAGAGAGTTCCAAACATCTACCACATTTTGCGTATTGAAGTGCTTCCTAACTTCTCTCCTGAACAGTCTGGCCCTAATTCTCTGGCTATACGCCTAGTTCTAGAATTCCCAACCAGTGGAAATAGTTTATCTTTATCTACCTTTCTTTTCCTGCTTCATTGTCTGAACAAATGTTTCTGCCAAACCATTTATGACTGAATGATAAGGAACTGATTGGATATGTTAAATTGCACTCTGCTTTAAGTAGTTTTATACCACAAGAGTTTACAGACTATGGACCATTATCACTAACAAGTTGTTCTGGATAACCATTCCTCACAACGATCCACCCCAATCTTTCAATAGTTTTCTCTGAAGATGCCATCTTCATGATAGCAACTTCAGGCCATTTAGTAAATACATCAATCACTGAAAAATATTTGCCCTTCAACAGGTCCTGCATAGCCAATATAGATTCTTTGCCATAGCCTTACTGGCCACTGTCATGGGTGTAATGGCAGTAATAGGGGTAGATTGCACAAGCCACTTACATTTTTCTGAAGAAGGGTCTAGGCCCGAAACGTCAGCTTTCCTGCTCCTCTGATGCTGCTTGGCCTGCTGTGTTCATCCAGCTCTACACCTTGTTATCTTACATTCCCACCTTCTCAGTTTTGGAGTTGCGCCCTCACTACAAAATAGCATCTGGCTATCTCCTTCATTCTGACAATGCCACAGTGACCTTCGTGCAGTTTCCTTAGCTTTGGTGGAATGATGACCCTCATTTCCAGAGGAGACATCTTGCTTATGGATATTTCAAACTTCTATGTGACACATGGCTTCAATTCTGTGTTGGTCCTGTGATCTTTCACAGAGTACAATGTTCATTACTTCTGATTGTGGTTAATTGGTAAGATGGGGGTGGAGTAGGGCTTCTCAGATCAGGTCTCGTCTGCTCCGTTCACTTTTCTTTGTTTTCATTTATTTTACTCATCTCTTGTTAAAAATCTCAGTTGTGGCAAAAGCATCGGCAGCAGTAAGTGAGCCCAGTGCGGACTTGCGGTCGTGTCGGTGAGTCTGGGCTCCTAACGGCTTTTGCATTGATGAGGTGGTCCTCGTGCCAACTCATGGTTGCTGCGGCTGAGGTGAGTTTTGGGTTCTCATTGGGGTCTGCATCCAGTGCAGATTCATGGAGGCAGTGGCGGATGTGGAGTTACGAGACCCAGCGGCAGCAGCTAGTTCAAATGGTAACCTTTGGATCAAAATGGGTCAGGACTTCTGACATTATCAAAGCCTCTTTGGCTTGTGTAAAGGCTCTTTCACATTTATCTTCTCATTCCCAAATCTTGTTTGCCAAAATAAATTGTGCAATGGCTTGAGAATGATTGATTGTAATATTTGGGTCAAACCTGTCATTGTAGTCTCACAAGTCCAAAGATGATCATAGCTGGTTTACATTTTTTAGGTGCTAGTACCTCACTTTTATGGCTTTTACTTTTGAAGGTGAATTGTGTAGTCCCTGATCGTCAATGACATGGCCTAAATATTTGATGGAAGATTTAGAAGATTCACATTTGGTTTTCCTCACTCTTAGTCCATGATCTTCAAATTTCTGCTGTATAGCATCTAAATTGTGGAGGTGCTTTTTTTTGTTTCTCCTCATGACTGAAATATCATCTAGGTAACACTGGACACCTTCTAATCCACCTAAAATCTGATCCATGGTTCATCAGAAGCAAGGAGTTGCAGATGTGATTCAAAACAGAAGTCTCTTGTATTTGAATAGTCATTTGTGTCGCGGTCATCAAGTATTTCTGTGACTCCAGATCTACATTCATCTGTAGATAGACTTGAGTGAGGTAATTTTTACTAAAAAGCTGACTCCCACCTTGTCCGGAAAATAGGTCCTTGATTAAAGGCAAAGGATACTGCTAAGTACACAATACTGGGTTAATGATGATGTTAAAGTCAATATAAATGCACACCAATCCATCTTCCTTCATCACTGGTATGATAGTTGTGGCCCATTCACCAACATTTATGGGTTCAAAGGCTCCTGTCTTGACCAGTCTCTCTTTCTGCTTTGATCTTTGGCTTGATTGCATGAGGCACTGATCTATCCTTGCAACATTTTGCTTGATGCTCATCCTTGATTTTTAATTTTCTAGTGACCTTTTCCATGCTTTGCAGATCCTCATTGAAAACAATGGCATGTTTCTTTAGAATTTATGATAGATCAGTCTCAGAATCTAATGAGTAAATTAATTTAGCCAAGTTGAGTTTGATATTCCCTGACCAGATTATTTTCAATAAAGTTGTAAAATTTATTTGGTAACGTGCCAAGGACAAATCTTCAGCATGACTGTATGATTGAAAATTCACATTGATACAAGCCTTTAAGTCACCAGTTCATCTGTGTACAATATTTAAGGGTTGCAGCACAATGTACTTCGGCTGTATCTGATGCATACTTTCAGGTATCAATGAAACTGCTGCTCTAGTGTCCATCTCCATGCTTGCCATTCAGAAAGTGAGTGACGCTATATCCGTTGGTGTCACCAGCAA